ATTCTTGGCAGGACTACACGTAACAATCAAGTCTCTGAAGAACAAAAGAAATCCTAGAGAATGTTTGGGCCATGTTCTAGAGGTGAAAAAAGAACTTGTTAATGGTGCAGAAGACAAATTCAAGAAATAAGTTTGTTTTGCTTTTGGAAGAAGCAGTCTTCAAGCGTTATGAAATGAGAGCAGGGATAGGATCCAGAGTGACCTGGACAGATTGGAGGATTGGGCCCCAAGAAATCTGATGAGGTTCAACAAGGACAAGTGTAGAGTCCTGCCCTTGGGACGGAAGAATCCCAAACATTGTTACAGGCTGGGGACTGACTGGCTAAGCAGCAGTTTAGCAGAAAAGAACCGGGGGATTCCTGTGGATGAGAAGCTGGATAGGAGTCAACAGTGTGCCCTTGTAGCCAAGAAGGCTAATGGCATATTAGGTGCATTAGGAGGAGCATTTCCAGCATATCCAGAGAAGTGATTATTCCCCTTTATTCGGCTCTGGTGAGGCCACGTCTGGAGTATTGTGTCCAGTTCTAGGCTTCCCATATTAGAAAGGATGTGGACTCATTGGAAAGAATCCAGTGGAGAGAAACAAAAATGATGAGGGGGCTGGAGCTCATGAATTATGAGGAGACAATGAAGGATTTGGCCTTGTATAATCTACAGAAGAGAACAGTAAGGGCGGAGTTTATAGCAGCCTTCAACTACCTTGAGGGGGGTTCAAAATGGATGGAGAGAGGCTGTTCTCAGGGGCATAGTGATAGGGGAGGCAGGGGGTGCAGTTGCCCCCGCGCGCCACAGTAGGGCAAGTGCAGGGAGAATGACTTAGGAGGGTCAGGGACCACCAGACCCAGCCACAGAAGCTGTGGCCACGTCAGACCCACCCACGTTGTTCTCCCTGAGCTCGCCCTAGCATGGCGGCTGGGGGCAACTGCCTGCCATGCCCTTCCTCATTATGCCTATGTCTGTTCTCAGGGGTGGCAGGTGGCAGAACAAGGAGCAATGGTCTCAAGTTGCAGTGGGAGAGGTCTAGGTTGGATATTAGGGGAAACTATTTCCCTAGGAGGGTTGGGAAGCACTGGGATGGGTTCCCTAGGGAGGGGATGGAATCTCATCCCTAGCGGTTTTTAAGTCCCGGCTTGACCAAGCCCTGGCTGGGACAATTGAGTTGGCGTTGGTCCTGCTTGGGCAGGGGGCTGGATTCGATGATTCTTGATGTCTCTTCCTGCCCTCAGTCTCTATGAGTCTATGATTCTATGACAGATCAAGCACAGATCACAATAGGAGAGAGAGTACACAATGAGACACCAGCACAGCCACACAAAAAAAGAAAATATGGGACCGAAAAAAAAGGATTAAAAAAATATCAGTTGCTTGTGTGTTAGCCACCTTTTAAGAGTTTGGGCTGAACTAT